TAGACCGGATTCTTTCTACACGAACCATTATCTTGCGTTGTATGTCGAAAGAACTCAACATAATTATTGATAATTTGTAAAATATAAAAATTGTGGGTCATGGTGACCTTAATAAAGGATTATTTATTATTATATGTAAACTAAGCGTGGCAACTACTGACAAAACCAACATACGGGCAAATGCAGTACAGGACAATTAGATGGAGTGACGACCTTAAATGCATTGCAAGGGGTCAGTGGATACAGGTGGCTCAGGATCGTTCCTTATGGCAGTTTATGGGGGAAGCCTATTTTTAACAGTGGACAGCTGACAGCTAATATAATAATAATAAATATGTAAATTAACATGTAATTTCTTATTGATATTACAAATACAATATGGAATAAACGAGACACTGAACTCTATCGATTGCAACATGAATCATTACAATCGGTGCAGAAAAAAAAATACAGACATACCTTTTAGATTTTTTTTTTAAATTGACAATATTTTCGTACATCACACATCATGTAAAGCTGCCGTCCAATAAATAGTAAACGAAGGTAACCTAGACACGTTTATTGGCGAAGGGCGCCGCTCTCGTATGATAAGCAGTGGTATTAAAATAATCTACGACATGCACGGCAACAATAAAAGCATTTTCACCTAATAGGACTCATCGAAAGTCTTTTATTAGAAAAGGCCTTCGAACTTGGAACAAGTGAAGGCGAGTTTTATAACTGGCAAATAAAACAGCCACGGCTCAACAGGCGCCGTCGTCGCTCACGGAAAGTATTTAATAAAACGTTGGACTGTTTTATTTGAATTAGTTCGCTTCTGCATTAATCGATTCCGGATCAATTTCTGGGGCGTTGAACACTGGCAGATGAATACGACTTTCCATTTAAGGTTATAAAATTATTTTAAAATATTACGACTAGGAATGGCAGACTGAATGCTCATCGCTTGGATAGTGGTGTCCGTCACTTATCCATGTTTTTTTTTTTTAATAGATAATAATGGAAATGTAACCCCGTCCACGCTAACGGTAAATGCTGGCGGAGCACCAATGAGAGATGACAGGTGAGAAAGAAAGAGCAGCTTAGTTAGCCCATCGTGGTGAATACATCTGGAATTCAGCGCGAAGGTTTCAAGGGGGCCACGAAGAGGTCGACCTGACAGGGTATATTGTTAGCAATGGGACTGGTAGTCTATATAACTAACAATCCCTTCCCCCATACTTGTCTATGGTTACACGAATGGTAGTATGGATATAGTGGATAACGGTAAATATCAAAGGAAGATATGAACAAAGTACCCTACACGGGAAGTTCTATCCTTCTCCTAAGTCTGTCGTTAAGCAGCTGTACTTGCTTGGCTGTGTTATGATTTGAAGGATATAATACAACAGTACAGGGCGCAGACGCATAAATCCTCTGGAATGACAATGTGTGAGAGGTTTCATATACACCACAGTATGTTCTGTAAATCCTATAATACTGTCCAAGTCACCATGCGACATCACCATCTGATGACCCGTTAGCTGCAATATATTTTACGCTAGATGATGCTCCCTATACATGTCGTACCACCAGAGGGAGAGTTTATACAAAAGTCGATTGCTTGGGTACATCTGTCCCATTCGTGTTTCAACCGCAAAGCAATTGTGTTTGCATGGCTGTGTTTTGGTTTGAAGGGTTGGATATTGCGTGAAAGAAATAACACCTGAGTCCTCAGGGATGACAACGCATGGGGGGTATCATGGGCGAAACAGTATACTCTGTTTTGTCCATGGTACTGCTCATGTCCATAGGCGACGGTTACCACTTTCCATCAGGTGGACCATCAGCTTGTTTGCCATTCTAAGTTGTATAAAAAAACGTATAGGGAGGTCAAGGATATGGCCTGGCTGGAAGAAGATGCATGAATTAGTTGCGCCGACAAGAGGAAACTCTTAAATGAAAAGAAGAGAAGTTTTAAAATGATATAAACGATACTACCAGGCATTCTTAGATTACTAAATATCTAACTTTATCCCGACTAAATCCGCCGCTTGTTTGCGGAGTATAATGTACTCGTTCATTGTAATTTTAATTAGGTATTCCTTTCGACTGTCGAGTAGCGGCATCAGATAGCGCGGAGCAGGCAGCCGCCGCGCCTGTCGCCCGGTCGCGGCGTCGCGCGAGGCAATTCGTGCAGTAAACGCTCCCTGGCAATGACAGATGTGTATTGCTTTTACATTGTTTTGGATTCCGTGTCTAGAAATGTAAAAGCATTGTAGTCATCCTATTGGTGTCAGTAAGGAGTTCTCGGAATACTTACTGATGGTACTACCACAGTATGTCTACAAAATCTACAAAACATTGGCGATGATAATTTTAATTTTAATCTTTCCTTCTTTTTTTTATACCACTGACGTGGTACAAGCATACGGCCCACCTGATGGTAAGCGGTTACCGTAGCCTATGAACGCCTTACCAGAGATATTTTTTTTTTATACCATGCTGTAGTTTCTTGAGGTCGGCAAGGGCTCATTCCATAAACAAGCATACGCGCCCACCTGATGGTACAAAAGCGGTAAGATACAAACGTAGCCTATGAATGTCTGCAATACCAGAGGTATTACGCGCGCGTATCGACAGCGCGATCACCTATAAAAAAAACAATTAAGAAGAAACCGAATGTAAATGATGTAGATTCACAGGCGTAAATGAAATCGTTCACATTTTAAGAAGAAGACTTGCAGTTTCAATCATTAGAGAAGAAGTGTCAATACAGACTAGGAAACGGCACATGAGTTATTTAAGTTATTGGACAAATCAAGTCCATTATTGTCATTATTATAACAGTCTTTTATCAGTGATCGTTCATCATTATTATCATTTCACCCATTATTAACCGTCCATCACTGGATATAGGCTTCCCCCATAGACTGCCACAAAAAACTGTCCTGAGCCACCTGTATCCACTGACTCCCTGTAATGCATTTTAGGTCGTCACTCCATCTAGTGGGGGGTCGACCTACACTGCGTTTGCCCGTACGGGGTCGCCACTCAAGAACTTTTCTTCCCCATTGATGATCGTTATTATAAAAAAAATATACCTAACACGGCGCATTCGGATGGAAAGGGATTGTTAGTAATGGAGAGTGAGAATCTCATTGCTAGCAATATACCCAACCAGGTCGACCTCCTCGCGGTTCCCCCTGGAAACTATCATGCTTAATTCTTGATGAATTATACTATTACTATAATTGTCACATATTTTTCACCACATCTGCCCTTCATACGCTTTCTGTTTTTACCCCATGCTGTAGTCTACTTGGCAATAAAGTTAAAGATTTTCGTTTTCATTCTCATCTAAATTAATGTTAAAAAATTTATAACTAACACGGTATGTTCTGCCGTTATGTTGCTACAGAAGGCTTAACATTTATTAAAGTTATTAATTTTTTATTTATAAAATTTCTATTCCAATATATTCTACAGCACTGTTAGGTTTTAAGATTTAATTACGACTTTGATTTTACCTGTATATTGCCACCTCATCACTTCAACAGTTGTAAACTGATTTAGAAAATTGATTTTTTTTTATTTGAAAGGATATACTTACAGATTAGCTTCATAGAAATGTTAATGAAATCAGAACAGCAGTTTAGTTTTTAAATGAAATAATTAGTTTTGCCACAAATGAAGTCACATTTTTTGTGGAACACAAACTTAAAAAATTATTGGTTTTTAAGACTATTGTCATACACTTATTAAATTAATACTACTATTTATTAAATAAATACTATACAAAATAGATTCACTTGATACAAATGATATAATTCATGTATTACGAGCCACTGAGCACTAACAGCAGATCTCTGCCGGTAGGCATAAATTGTTACCTATCATTTATAAACTTTGTACATTTCCATTTCAGACTAAAAGCTATTATTAATGGTTACACGGTAGCATACCTACCTACAGACAGAGGGACACCAAATTAATCTTGTATCTATTGAAAGAATATACAATTCATTGAGAGATCTCTGTATTTCTTGTTACAAACTGCAGTATATCCTTGATAGTAAGAAGGAAGAGAGTTACATGTTATTTGTGTGGCATCGCTTATTTTATATGAAGCCATATCCGACCGATCAATCTCACCGATAATACTCAATCTTTATAAGCAATAATACTTTTTTTAATAGATGATAATGAAGTGGTAGCCCCGCGCTATCGGTATACACTGGCGGGGCACCAATGAGGGATGATAAGTGACGATGAAGCAGGTCAGTTAGCCCATCGTGACAAATTCACTAATAAATACTAATAATTATTATAAAAAAATATCAAAGCCCCAGGAGTTTTATTGTAACAGACATTTAAATTTATTTTAATCGAATATTATATATGGCTGACTTTTAAAATTTTATTACTCATAAAATGCAGTCATTTCCGTAGTGATAAAATTTATATGGCACTAATATGGGACTAAACCCTGACGATCGGAAGAAAATATTATAAAAATTGTTTCGTATAGAAAATGAATCACTTAGTATAAAAATAAAAATACAGGAGAATTCAAAAATGTCCGTTTTGAAATCGTTTAATAAGATTAGGTCATATTTATATTTTTTTTCATCCCATTGTTTTTACATTCACTGTGATTACTTCTTGTAATTGTATTTATAATAAGTTTACTTTTGTAATCTTTTGGAGGAAACAATAAAGAGTAGATACTCTTTATTGTTTCCTCCAAAAGATACATAGAATGATATTTGGAATAAATAGATAGATATCTATCTATTCTAAATATCAGGTGCCAACAAAGACTTCAAATACATTGACAAAATTACAAGAGCAAAGTCAGTAATTATGTATTTATATTAGCAACTGTATTTAAGCACCTACCTACTGGGTTAATCCTTCAAACGGTGCTCGCTTTAGAGAGCCGCTCTGTTATTTTATTACTGTTTACCATTCAAAGCGCACGACGTAATCTCATTTGTTTTATTGTGATTGCAAACCAGAAGACGAGGCTGTAGGTGCCGGCTGCCGGGGGAGGCGTGTTCATTACCCAAACATAAGCAGGTGAGGAGCAATTAGGCTACGTTTCCATCTTCCCTCAAGAGACCTGAGGCGTTTTACTGTATACCAAAAGATATAAAAAGGTCAACTCCGAAGATTCCAACATTTGAAAGAGTTTTAACCTTTTGGATTTTATCAAGTGGTTTCATGCGTGTGCGGTTTTTTTAGTATCTCCTTATACAAAAGTATTCATTGAGGTATAAAACATATTTAATTAAAGAATCGCAAACAATGACACCCTTAAAATTATAACTTAGAAAGGAAATTAATTTTAATTTATTACTAGTTATAAAACTTGACATATTATTATGCAGTATTGGTGATTTTTTTTTATAGCACTGAGGTGGCAAACAAGCATAGATAGATAGATAATTTATTTGCATTACTTACTTACAGCACACAAATTACAACATAGATATATAAAAAAAAGCGAGATAACATAAATGATAAAAAAAAAAATACATAAAGCTAAATACAATTTTCGTTTGTGCGTGTGCCATAGCAATACAAAATGGCCACAACTCAGTTTATTGCTTCGCCCTCAAAAGAGCGAAGCACTGATATTCTCTTGCGGCCAAAGGGAATAGGGTAACAATAAAACAATACTACCAGATTATCCGTACAGTAAATAGAAAGATATACAGTAAACAGACAGCATACGGCCCATCTGATAATAAGCGGTTACCGTCCCCTATGAACGTCTGCAATACCAGAGACATTACGCGTGCGTTGCCGACCCTGACCAAACCTCTATACCCCTTTTTTAAAGAACCTCATGTTCTAGTCTCTTGGGAAAACCTCGGCAGGGAGCTCATACCATAACCTGAGTATTCGTGCGAAAAAAACAGTGATGGGCAATGATTATTATTTATCTCCTCAGTTTATAAGTACCGTAACCGAAAAAAGTTACGGCCATGGTTAGAGATTTAAGAACTCTTCATTGGTTCTCTATAGTTCAATAGATTTTTTTCACAAATACCTAAAGTGGAACAATAAGCAAGCCATATGAAATTTAGTGGTAAAGAAATGTAAACAACCTAGTTTAGCTTATAGGGCTTTTATTTCTCGTTTCGGGGAAAGCATTTGTTTGTAAATCCAAATAATAGGTCTTGAAATATCTTAGTTGGGTACTATTAATATGAATAATGGCGTAAATTTAGTTCAGGTAAGCGTCTTAAATTCAGCTTAATTTAATTGTAAATTGTGAACGGCGTCCATGCCGCCGTGGTAACCGCTATCAGGGTTTTCGCGGAGAAATAGGATAGATAACTTTTGATACGCATGTTTCCGATTCATTAGTACGCTGCACGGCGTTCGCTACAATTAAGTCGATTGTCGAGTCGCGTCCCCGTCTCGATTTAGAAACAAAGGAAAACACTCGGATACGCAAATTTCGGGGATTGTCAGATATATTTGTGCTTACATTTGCATTGCGTATTGAAAAAGATTTACGACGATTTCACTCTTCAAATATAACGTCAATACACGTCATTTGTTTATTGAATTGTATAATGTCTAACAGGACGGATGATGCATCTTTATTTTCACGCCGTTTACAACAGACATTTTATGTGATGCGTAAGTTTTTTTTTAATAAAGCTATTTTAAGCGAAGAATATCTGGGCGAGATTGCTTTCAGCGATAGTCACCCATTGTTTTGTTTGTGCACCATGACACCACACAGATGAATTTTATAAAATACAAAGGATCTCTTATCATTTTTGTTTCTGTTCGAGTGTTCTCCGTAATATTTTGGTGGGAACGGCACACAGTACCGATCTACGAGTATTAATCTATCTTAATTTAAGCATTTTTAACTAGACTTCTTTTATGATTCGTCTATTTACATAGTTGTTTAATCTATATTTAGAACTGAATATGTATTTAATGCTATATCTTAGTAACCATAAACTATAAATATCTAAATAGAAGAGATAGTTAATCTAGATATATAGATATATAATTAGAGATAAGTTATAAAAAAATAAAAAATATATATTTAAATATAAAAAATTTCTTTGAGCTCACTGCCAGCTGGTAGGATGCCTAGGATACTTGCTGCATTTCCACGTTGAATAGCAATTCGTCTATTATATTCAGCGTAGTACAAAACGTTGTTACTAGTATCCGACCTAACTTTCGGTGTCGGTTTCGGGTTCGGCTAGTTTCGGTCAGAAATTCTACTTTCGGCCTTAGTTTCGGTTTCGGCCAGAAATTAGCAGAAACTTTCGGACGCGCCGAAACTTTGTGTGTGTGTTTGTGTTGTGTGTCTAATTGAAAGTTATTTTTTTTTAAATTTACTTCTAAGTTTAAGTTATAATCTTAACATGTTTTTACATATGACATATTTGTTACATACTTTAATTAGTGTTTATTATTACCCTTCAACTATCTGTGTGTTTGTGTAGATAATTGTGTAAAAAATACACTAGATTTCAGTATAGTAGAGAAATTTTAAATATGTTTCAGTAAGTTTCGGTTTCGGCCAAAACTGAAACCAAGGCCGAAAGTTCGGTTTCGGTTTCTGTTTTGGCTTTAAAACCTGTTTAAGTCGGACACTAGTTGTTACCTTTCGGGAAGAGTTCTAAACTACTGTTAAAATACAAATCTTTCCTTTATTCACTCCAGTAATATCGAGCTGTATGTTCGTTTCCGAGATGCGTTCGTGTACCGTGACAGTTATTGCAATCATTAATATTATACGGATACAGTCTGCATCGTCGTCGTTGTCTTTGAGAGTCACATTATAATATTGGAAACGACGGAATACAAATCTGAATCGTTTCGAGCCAGTGAAGCTGTTAATTGCAGCCCCCCCTCACCCCCGCGGCCTGTAGGCGGCCGCCGCGCCGCTCGCTCTTGACTTAACTATTAAGCACTATGTTATACAACATAGTATTATTTGAATTGTAACTTTTAATATACAAGTTCTATTTGAATCCTACTGACATTATAATTATTATTGCCGTTTAATCTCGATATAGAATGGGCCACCCCTTATTTTACCATGGGTGCCATAAGAGGCGACTAATGGAACTTTATAGTCGAGGTATGGGCAGCAGTACCCCTCCAAAACATTACCAAAAGCCAAATTGCAGTTGTCAATTCGCCTGGCATCTATAAGAAAAATCCCCTCAAAAGTAAACCAGAGAGAGACTTTGTACAAAAGTCGATTGCTTGGGTACCTCTGTCCCATTCGTGTTTCAACCGTGAAGCAGTTGTGTTTGCATGGCTGTGTTTGGTGTGAAGGGTGGGATATGGCGTGAATTTACTGGGTACAGAGAAATAACGCCTGAGACCTCTAGAATGGCAACGCATGGGGGGTATCATAGGCGAAACAGTACAGACTTTTGTACAGTCTCCCTCTGGTGAGGGAGAACTTTTACAATAATGCTCATTTATGGCTTCGAATGACTTGAACGAAAATCAAATAAGTATAAATATATACTCATCTCTCTAATTCCAGATTACGGCGATAATAATACAATAATAACTCCATCCATTGGTCTAATATATATATACATATATCGGACCAACAATGGGCTAAAGCCCAATTGACTGCTGATTACATAAAAATTGTTTTCTACAAAAAAAAAACCGTTTTCTATTAATAATAACAATAATAATAGATTTATTTGCTGTAAAACACGGTATACAGATGTTAGCAATAATCTATTAGGAACAGGCGTGTTTTGCCAAAACAATGGCATGGAATTTTATTTTTAATATTTATAGTATTTTTTTTTTCAAATGTAAATGCTTAAATTGTGACAAAACCATTTATCTTGATTTCAAAACTACTGAACCGATATCGATTTAATTTTTATGAGACCAAACTGTAAGTATATTCTTTCAAATAAAAAAGGAATTTCCTAGTTCGGTTTGGAACTGACAGAGTTGTTAGGTAAGAAACATACAACTGAGTTAAGACCTCCTTCTTTTTAAAGTCGGTTGAAAATATTTAAATGACCATGAAACTCTCATCATCGTACCAGAGGGAGACTTTGTACAAAAGTCGATTGCTTAGGTACCTCTGTCCCATTCGTGTTTCAACCGTGAAGCAGTTGTGTTTGCATGATTGTGTTTCAGTTTGAAGGGTGGGATATGGCGTGAATTTACTGGGTACAGAGGAATAACACCTAAGTCCTCAGGAATGGCAATGCATGGGCGGTATCATGGACGAAACAGTATAATCTGTTATGTCCATGGTACTGCTCATGTCTATAGATGACGGTTACCACTTTCCACCAAGTGGGCCGTCAGCTTGTTTGGCATTCTAAGTTGTATAAAAAAAAAATCCTTTCCGATAAAAAAGGAATTACCTAATTAGATATAGAACTGACAGAGTTGTTAGGTAAGAAACATAAAAAAATTGAGTTAAGAAACCTCCTTCTTTTTAAAGTCGGTTGAAAATATCTAAATGACCATGAAACTCTAATCAGTATGTTACTAGCAATAAAGCATTAGCTGCTACTACAATCAATCTCCTCTCGCCAAACGGAGTATGGTCGTGAATTACAAATTCCCAATGTTGTACAAAGCGATGTTATTAACGGCAACCGGCTCACGCGGTGATTTGTTGATAACGCGGTTAGATGTAATCTTGGAGCCGAGTTGGATTATTGAAAATCGATCGAGTTCTACAGCTGTAGAGGTGGTGTCTTATCGCAAGTTAGTTTCCACTTACTTCAGTACTATTATTTCAACTCTAATACACCTAGAAAGTTTATTTAGTTAGTGCAAAGGGCGAGGAATTTTTTTTTAATGGGTGAAAATGGAATTACAACCCCGCCCGCGCTATCGGTATTACACCGACAAAGTACCAGTGGAAGATGATAGGTGAGAATGAATGCAGGTCAGTTGGCCTCCCATGATGCATTCGACAAGAAGTAAACATGATGGTTTCCAGGGGGAACCACGTGGAGGTCGACCTGAGAGGGTGTATTGCTACTAATGGGACTATTAGACCCCTGAATGGGCAGCAGCGTCCATCTTAAAACATC